CTGTTTTCCAAAATACAAGGCCTGTGTAGATATCCCGTCCCCCACACAACCCAGGGGCGGGGGCCCCGATTCCCAAAGGGCCCGTGTAAAATATCAGCCTTTTTCAAATACCCCCCCCCCCTCTCCCAAAGGGGTCCCCTGTGTCATAAAGGGGGGTTTTTATGTGGGGAAAGGCCCCGTGATCAGCCACCCAGCGGAGGGGGGAGTACCCCGAGGATTTTGCTCCTCCCCAGGGGGGTTTCCCCGCTTTGGGAAACGAGGGGTGCCGGAAGAAAAAAGGGGTTTTGGCCCTTACTGTATTGTACTGTACTAAAATTGTAATGTTTTTTAATTTTTAAAAACTGTTTTATTTGTCTAATTGGAAAAAAAAAAAATTTTGTACGGTAGTGATTACCGACCAGGTTTGGGTTTTTTTAAAGTACTATAAACCCTCAAATAGCAGAGTTAATTTTAGGGGTTTGAGGAGGTCCCCAATTTTTTGGGGGAAATCCCAGGTTTAAAACACTAGTTTTTTTTTTTACAAAAATGATTCGCCCAAATTTTTTTGTGAGGCCAAAATGATTTTAAATCGCGGGATTTTTTTGCGCAGTTATTAAATGTTAAATTTAATTTTTGCAATTGTGCTGGACTTTTGGTGTTTTTTATTATGTCATGTGGGTATCCTTTAAATTTTGGGGTTTTGGGGATATTCCCGTTTTTAAATTTGCCAAAAAAACATTGTCATCCTTTATTTTTTTTAAAGGGGGGAGTTTTTTTAGTCTATGATTGTGGACGGAGAAAACTGTATTGGGCGTTTGGGTTGTTTCCAAATCTCCCGGTTTGACCCGAAACCAAAGCAAAATTTTTGAAATTTTGGGCCAAACTTTTAGGTTTTTTGCATTATGATGCCCTTTCCATGCACTAGAAAAATTTTATGGCGGCCCCTGTTGCTCCCCATTTTAACCCTTATATGAAAGGGAAAATTTTTTAAAAATTTTTCTAATTAAATGAAAAAATCAGAAACAGAAAAAGTATTTTCTTTCTAAAAGGGTTGGGCCCAATCTTTTTTCCTCCAGGGATATTCCAGAGGCAGGAAAGACCCAGTGGACAGAAAAAAATCCATGGTGCAGCCCCCAGGGAAGAAAGGGGCCCCCCTTTAAACCCCCACAGTTTTTCACCCCCCCAAACCTGCTCAGCCCTCGTGGGGGTTCCCCCCGGGTCCCCCGTGCTTTTTTAAAAGAGTTTAGTTTAAATAACCCGGGAAACCCCACACACACACAACACAACCTTTTGGAGTTTTAGCTTTGGGCTTTTAAATCCCAACCCGCAGTAGCATTGGGGGTTTTCCCCCCGAAAATTTGGGTCATTTTTTTTCCCTCCCGCGAGCTGGGGGTGAGTTTTTTTTAGGAAAAGTGGATGCAGACATCATCACTGGCTACAACATCCAGAACTTTTTAAACCTTTTCCCCAAACCCCTTAAAAAAGAGCACTAAACCCCGAAGGGCAGTTTTCAGACGACAGGCCCATGGGGTTTTATGGAAAAGGGTTCTGATTTTCCCAAAAAAGTTTTTGGTTCTAAGTCCCCAAAAAACCCGCCCCGATAAAAGGTTTTTTTTGATTTCAGAAATATTTGTTGTTATTCCCTTTTTTTGTATTTTGGGGCCCGGGGAAATCTAAAAAACTGGAGCTGGGGAAACCCGGCCCGTTATAAGATTTCTAGAGATGGGGGGTTTTATAAGATATAGAGTGGGGGGTTTAAAAAAAGATACTAGAAAATGGGGGGTGTTTTTTAAAATACAAAGATGAGGTTTTGGTTTTAAGATTTCTAGAGATGAGGCTGTTATAAGATACTAGAGATGAGGGTATTTGATTTTTTTAGGGACAAGGCAGCAGCCCCCCACTCTTTTCCCGGGGTTCCCAAAAACATTAAGAAAACTTAAATTTTCAATTTTAAAAAAAAAAAATAAAAATTTCATCCCTATAACAATTTAAAATTTCACCCTAGATATCTTTCAAAAACACAAAGTTCAATGTTTTAAAACCCCCATACAAAAAAATACAATGTATGTTTTAAGCCTGGGTTTCCCTTTTTTTGGGGTTTTTTCACAGTTCCCCGCTGTTTCCCTAAGGTGTATTTTTACCTGTTTTTTTTTTTAATTTTGATTCTTTCTGCTTGCTCTCTTTTTCTTGATGGGAATAGAGTTCCATTTTTAGTCCCCTGGCCCCCCTTTTGTTAGTACTGTGTGCCTCCCATTTCCTTTTTTTCTGGACTTTGGGGGGGTGAAGGGGCCCTGGTGGCATTTTCCTTTTTTGGGGGATTTTAAAGGCTGTCCGGCTTGGGGCCCAGATTTTAAAAAAGGAAAATCGATGCAGTCCCTTTTTTCAAAACATTTTTACAAAAAAAAGTGTGATGAAGTCAATCCCCCTCTTTTGACTGAAACCAGGGGAAAATTGGGCCCTGCCTATCAAATTAAAGTTTGCTTTTTTTGTTTTACTTTTTTTAAGGGGCCCGCCCAAAAAAACCCCGGTTTTTTGAACCAACCGGGGAAATTCCTTGTCCCCCCTTTTTGGCAACCGAAACCCACGACTGAACAGAGTCCCCCGGGTTTCCAAAAAAAACCCAGGGCCTGTAGGAAACCCGCCTTGTTTATGTTGTTTTTAAGAATGAAAAGCCGCCCTTTTATTATGGGCAACCCTTTTTTCCCCCCTCCTAGCTACTTTTTGTATCGTTTTGTTTTGGGCCATGACATTTACAATTCCCGGGTTTTCCAAAACAGTTTTGGGCTCCTCCCAAATTTTCTCAATTTTCCCCCATTATTCATTAAAATATTTTTGTTTAGGGGTTTTAAAAATTTTTTGTGAATGAAATTTTTCCCCAAAAACAATGCTTTTTTGTTTTAACTTATTCCTTGCAAAAACCAATTTTTGGGGGGAAATAATTCAGCTCTTTATAAAATGGGTTTCAGTCATTTTCCCGTCACTTTAGTAGCTTTAAAATGTTTTTAGTGTTGGGTAAACCGCATCAAGATTTCACTGGGGGGTTTTTTCAAAGCCAGTGGATGGGCCCCCTTTTGTAAAGATTGAAAAAAATAAGGGGGTTAAACAGTTTCCCTGGGGGGCAAATTTTTGAACTAGAGATGAGGTTGTTATAAGATACTAAGATGAGGGGGGGGTTTTAAATACTAGAGATGGGGGGGGTTTTATAAATTTTAGAAGGGGGGGGGGCTGTTAAAAAATAAATAGAATGGGGGGTTTTTTTATAAGAACTAGAAAATTTAGGCTGTTATAAGATACTAGAGTGAGGTTGTTATAAGATACTAGAGATGAGGTTGTTATAAAAACTAGAGAGGGGTTGGGTTTTAAAAAACTAGAGATGAGGGGTTTTTTATAAAATACTAGGAGGGGGGGGTTTTAAAATCCCAGAGATGGGGCCCGTTATAAAAATACTAAGGGGAGGCTGTTATTTAAAATACTCGAATCCCCCCCCCCAGCAAAGATTTTTTGGGCCAAAAAAAAAAAACAACTTGCCCCACAAAAAACTGTTTATGAAGAAAGCATTTTTTTGAATTTGGCCCCAAAATAATGGTCTACCTTTTGGATCTTTCCCCAAAAGGGAAAATTTTTACGAAAAAGGGTTTTTTTTCATAAACAATTTCCCTTTTTTTTAAAAAAAAAAAATAATGGGAAATAAAACGTCCCCTCTCCCCCCTTACCCCGCCCCCCGTCCGGCCCCCTTTTTAAAAAAACGGAAAGCGAAAATCTGGGGTAAAGTTCCCCGTGGCCTTTTTGCACTCTTGTCTTTTTTTTGGGTTTTTAGGGTGGAAAGGGCTGTTTAAAAACTCTTTTGACAACAATGATGTAAAAAAAGGGGTTTATAAAAAACATTTGATTTTATTGTTGATTGTCTGATTTCCAGGTCCCCTTTTTTTCCCCCTCCTGGCAAGGGGTTTCGGGGAAACAAGTTTAGTCCTGAGAGGCCCAGCTTCCCGAGCAAAAATGGGCCGCAAAAAAGAAACAAAAATCCCCTTTAAATGGAGGGGCGAGGTTCCAAATTTGAATTGGTTTTCCCGGTAAAAAAGGGGGGGTGCCTTTACCCCTTTTGCCTTTTGGTTTTGGAAAAATAACATAAAACTCAAAACCAGGGTTTTTTTGGGAACCCCCGAACCATATTTTGGGAATGCATGCCGGCCCCGGCCACTAGATTAGGGTAGGTTTTTGGGAGTAGAGGGTTTTTAACTGTTTTTGACCAAAGTAGCAGACAAGAGGGGTCCCAAACTTTGGGGGAGTGTTCTGTAGAAATGTCCCCCGGACCAGAGTTTAGCTAGAGGAAATCATCATGGATTTAAAAAAAGTTTTTTTAACCCTTTGGGCATTTCTTTGAGGGGTTCCCACCATTTTTTAAAAAAACTGGGCCCAATGGGGGGGGTTTTCCCATGGGCAGACAAACCCTAAAGGAAAGATCAAAGGGTGAGTCCCTAAAGCTGTTCCCCGGAATCTGTCCATTTTGGGTACTTCGGGTGTGCTGAGGGGCTACAAACGGAAATGTTTTTTGTTTTTTCCCGAGGGTTTTTGACGACCCGTTTTGTTTTTTCTGACCGGTTTTTCTGTTTTCTGGACTTGGGGTGGTTTGTTGTTTTTTGACTGGCTGTTCTGTTTAAAACTGACTGTTTCCCGTTGGGTTTTACTGGCTGTTTTTTGGGATGACCTGGGCTGTTCTGTTTTTTACTGGCTGTTTGTTGTTTTGAATTTGGGGGTTTTTTGTTTTGACTGGGCTGTTTTTGGGTTTTTTTTGACTGGGTGTTTTTGTATGCTTTACTGTTTTTTGTTTTTTTTTTGACTGGCTGTTCTGTATGACTGACTGTTCTGTTGTTTTGACTGGCTGTTCTGTTGTTTTGACTGGCTGTTCTGTTGTTTTGACTGACTGTTCTGTTGTTTTGACTGGCTGTTCTGTATGACTGACTGTTCTGAGGGTTCTGACTGACAGTTCTGAGTGTTCTGTCTGACTGACTCTGGACCTGTCCATGTGGGTCCTTCAGGTGCTGCTGAGGGACTACAAACTGCGCTCGTACACACTCAACGCCGTCAGCTTCCACTTCCTGCAAGAACAGAAGGAGGATGTTCAGCATTCTATCATCACAGATCTGCAGGTACATCTCTCTCCTTTTCTTTCGTTCTTTCTTTCTTTCTTTCAGTGGAGGCCTATTTGTACCCTGACTTTCCCCCAGATACTGATAGCATCTCATTGATGTTTCCTCTCCCTTCTCTGTCTTCCTTCTATCCCAGAATGGTAATGAGCAGACCCGGAGGCGCCTGGCAGTGTACTGTCTCAAAGACGCCTACCTGCCCCTGCGTCTGCTGCAGAAGCTGATGTGTGTGATCAACTACATGGAGATGGCCAGAGTCACCGGGGTTCCCCTCACCTACCTGCTCTCCAGAGGCCAGCAGATCAAAGTGGTGTCGCAGCTACTGCGGCAGGTGAGAAACACATACACTTTCTAGAACGCACGTTCTCACCTAAATGTTTGGGACCTAGAAGATGATGTGGTGTGTGTGTGTGTGTGTGTGTGTGTGTTAGGCAATGAAACAGGGGCTGGTCATGCCAGTGGTGAAGCCTGAGGGAGGTGAAGACTACACTGGAGCTACAGTCATTGAGCCAGAGAAAGGGTGAGTATCACTGCTCTGAAGACTACTGGAGTTAGTCATTGAGCCAGAGAAAGGGTGAGTAACACTTCTCTGAAGACTACTGGAGTTAGTCATTGAGCCAGAGAAAGGGTGAGTAACACTTCTCTGAAGACTACTGGAGTTAGTCATTGAGCCAGAGAAAGGGTGAGTAACACTTCTCTGAAGACTACTGGAGTTAGTCATTGAGACAGAGACAGGGTGAGTAACACTTCTCTGAAGAACTACTGGAGTTAGGACATTGAGCCCAGAGAAAGGGTGAGTAACACTTCTCTGAAGACTACTGGAGTTAGACATTGAGCCAGAGAAAGGGTGAGTATCACTTCTCTGAAGACTACTGGAGTTAGTCATTGAGCCAGAGAAAGGGTGAGTAACACTGCTCTGAAGACTACTGGAGTTAGTCATTGAGCCAGAGAAAGGGTGAGTAACACTTCTCTGAAGACTACTGGAGTTAGTCATTGAGCCAGAGAAAAGGGTGAGTAACACTTCTCTGAAGACTATGGAGTTAGTCATGAGCCAGAGAAGGGTGAGTAACACTTCTCTGAAGACTACTGGAGTTAGTCATTGAGGACAGAGACAGGGTGAGTAAACACTTCTCTGAAGACTACTGGAGTTAGACATTGAGCCAGAGAAAGGGTGAGTAACACTTCTCTGAAGACTACTGGAGTTAGGACATTGAGCCAGAGAAAGGGTGAGTATCACTTGCTCTGAAGACTACTGGAGTTAGTCATTGAGCCAGAGAACAGGGGTGAGTAACACTTCTCTGAAGACTACTGGAGTTAGTCATTGAGCCAGAGAAAGGGTGAGTAACACTTCTCTGAAGACTACTGGAGTTAGACATTGAGCCAGAGAAAGGGTGAGTAACACTTCTCTGAAGACTACTGGAGTTAGACATTGAGCCAGAGAAAGGGTGAGTAACACTTCTCTGAAGACTACTGGAGTTAGACATTGAGCCAGAGAAAGGGTGAGTATCACTGCTCTGAAGACTATGGAGCTACAGTCATTGAGACAGGGTGAGTATCACAGCTCTGTGTTTTAGGGAGTATTCTAGCCTCTGGCATGGTTTTTACTTGTGATTTTAGCTTTAATGTTTAATTGTTTGTGTATTAATGTAATCTAATATTTATTGATTTTTATTTGACAGTTAAAGACATACACACAGTACATACATGTTAATACTTGGCAGGGGTAACAGTAAAGTCAATGACTTATTTCCATTGTGGTCCCTTTATGTATTTCAGTATCTATGACTGCTATGTGGGTATAAACATGAACGTGAACTTACTCTTGCTATTTCTCTCTCTCTCTCTCTCTCTCTCTCTCTCTCTCTCTGTCTGTCTCTCTCTCTCTCCAGATACTACAGCGTTCCCATCGCCACCCTGGATTTCTCCTCCCTGTATCCCTCCATCATGATGGCCCACAACCTCTGCTACACCACCCTGCTCCAGAAGGGCTCAGCCGAGAAGCTAGGGTGAGATAGTCACTCTTTTTGTGTGCTTTCTCTAACCAGGGCTCTCCAACCCTGTTCCTGGAGAGATACTGTCCTGTAGGTTTTAACTCCAACCCTGTTCCTGGAGAGCTACCATCATGTAGGTTTTAACTCCAACCCTGTTCCTGGAGAGCTACCATCATGTAGGTTTTAACTCCAACCCTGTTCCTGGAGAGCTACCCTCCTGTAGGTTTTAACTCCAACCCTGTTCCTGGAGAGACACCCTCCTGTTGGTTTTCATTCCAACCCTAATCTAGCTATGGCAGGGGTCTGCAACGTAGCTCTGAAAACCTCAACCAGTTCTTTGACTGCATCCTTGATTGGTTGTTTCTGGGCTGTATTTGACCAAAGTTGACCCAGGTTGATTTGTAAGTGACATGGGTGTTTTGTCTCCTTAGTCTGACCCCAGAGGACTTCATCAAGACTCCCACAGGTGACATGTTTGTTAAGAGCTCGGTGAGGAAGGGACTTCTGCCTGATATCCTGGAGGACCTGCTCTCTGCCAGGAAGAAGTAAGCACTGACCCTGAGTCTGCTGAAACGAGGCCCTATGCACATCTCTTAGGTTTCTCAATCTGATCTAGAATCATTCACACTGATTCCTGACCTGCCATAGAGAATATGAAGACTGTCTATAGCAAACTATTCCTCTTATAGTTATTGTTTGCGTTTCCTGTGCTCCTGTCTTGATTGAACTATTTCTGTTTCCTGTGCTCCTGTCTTGATTGAACTATTTGTGTTTGGAACTTAATGTGTAATTGTGTGCTGCTCTTGTGATGCAGGGCTCCCTTGCAAAATATACTTTTGTCTCAATGGGACTCCCTGCTTAAATAAATATAATGGCGAAAAGATAGCTTGGGGAAGACAGGTGGTTCTTGTGTAATTCTGACATTTAAGTGTGCTCTTAACCTAGGTTCTTAGTAATTTGACTCGCACGAAAGATGATTAAACTCTTGTGCCGTCAAATGACCAAAGCTGAGTTGTGTATGAGCCACTCCATCTGCTCATCCTGGACAAAAGTCAGTCAATGTAGACCTTACCCAAACAGTGTATGAACAGTGTATGAACAGTGCTTAACAAATTAAAGTTGTTGTGGTTATTATTTCTGACCCTCTTTCGATATCTTCAGGGCCAAAGCGGAGCTGAAAAAGGAAACGGATCCTTTCAAGAAACAGGTCCTTGACGGCCGACAGCTCGCTCTCAAAATCAGCGCCAACTCCGTCTATGGCTTTACAGGGGCTCAGGTGGGCAAGCTGCCCTGCCTTGAGATCTCACAGGTGAGCACCCTGCCCAGTTTACTCAAGGTCAGTGGCTCAAAGTGGAAACTGGGACCAGGACCCCAGGCCAGTGGAGCTGTAGGCATCCAGACAATGTCCTGTTTGTATTTACATACCCAGCCATCAGCATGTCTTAAGACATATAAATTAAGATGTCTGGAGATATGTCTTAAAGGCCCAGTGCAGTAAAAAATTTGATTTTCTTTTTTGTGTGTTTTAAAAATATTTCCAAACTGAGGTTAGAATAATACTGTGAAATTGTGAAAATGATAATGCCCTTTTAGTGCAAGAGTGTTTCGAAAAGACTGGCTGAAATTTCAGCCTGTTTTGGTTGGATGGTGTTTTAGCCTGCCTGGTGGCAGTAAATGAGTTAATAGACCAATAAGAGAGTTCCATACCTCTGCCAATAACAGCTGGATTTCATTTCCCCCCTCCCTACTCAGACCACACCCAGACAGTCCTAGCAAAATTCTTGCTTGAGAAATTACTCTTGACTTAGAAGCTATTTTTGTTTCTTTTGAGAACATTTTTTAAATAACAATCACAGTAAGGTACTTAAATGTTACCAAGAAATGATTTGATATTGAGAAAAAAAAACAAAAAAAACAGGTGCATTGGTTTTGGAAATACCAATGTTATTAACCTCTCCCTGTGTTTCCAGAGTGTCACCAATGTTATTAACCTCTCCCTGTGTTTCCAGAGTGTCACCAATGTTATTAACCTCTCCCTGTGTTTCCAGAGTGTCACCAATGTTATTAACCTCTCCCTGTGTTTCCAGAGTGTCACCAATGTTATTAACCTCTCCCTGTGTTTCCAGAGTGTCACCAATGTTATTAACCTCTCCCTGTGTTTCCAGAGTGTCACCAATGTTATTAACCTCTCCCTGTGTTTCCAGAGTGTCACCAATGTTATTAACCTCTCCCTGTGTTTCCAGAGTGTCACTGGGTTTGGCAGACAGATGATTGAGCAGACCAAACAGCTGGTGGAATCCAAGTACACCATCTCCAACGGTTACCAAGCCGATGCCAAGGTGAGAGAGGAGAGCGAGGGCAGTCGTTCCACCATCCTAACCTCTCCTTTCTTTTGGGACCTTCATACCTTTCTTTTTCTTGATCTCCTTTTAGTTCTTCTACTTACAACTCTCCTTGATTGTGTGTTAGGTCATCTACGGGGACACGGACTCTGTCATGGTCAAACTGGGCGTGGACACTGTGAGCAGGGCCATGGAGGTTGGGAGGGAGGCGGCAGAGTGGGTCTCCTCCCACTTCACCCCTCCCATCAAACTGGAGTTTGAGAAGGTACCAGTTCACCATTTAAAACGCTGTTGCTAATAGCCCTGGGTCATGTTCAGTTGGTAGGAAATGTTTTAAAACGGAGTGAAACTCTATTGTCTGAAAACCCTAACTCCTGGTGGTAAAAAACTGTGAAACAGGAAGGTACTACCACAGAGATCCTATTAAACTACTAAATTCTAATATGTAAATTATATGGATACTACCTGGAGTTGACCAATTAGAAAAACTGATTGTAATTGTTTTATTTTGCAACGACAGTGTTCCCAAATGAACACCACCCAGGTCTAGTGCTAGACCAAGCTACCTTGTACTACTTTGTCTTTTGTTTAGTCTGCAATAAAGCTGTGTGATTCCTCTCTTGGGTGGTCGAATAACTAACATCCACACTCTCTCCTCTCCCCATGGGACCAGACTCAAGGCTACTATGAGCTCCTTCCATGGTCAAATAAAAACAAGTTAAACTCCCTTTATCTCCCTCCTCTATTTCCTCTCTCTCTATCTCCCCCTCCTCTCCCTCCCTCTTCTCTCTCCATCTTCCTCTCCTCTCCCTCTCCCTCCCTATTCTCTCTCCATCTCCCCCTCCTCTGCCTCTCCCTCCCTCTTCTCTCTCCATCTCCCCCTCCTCTCCCTCTCCCTCCCTATTCTCTCTCCATCTCCCCCTCCTCTGCCTCTCCCTCCCTCTTCTCTCTCCATCTCCCCCTCCTCTCCCTCTCCCTCCCTCTTCTCTCTCCATCTCCCTCTCCTCTCCCTCTCTCCTCACTTCCAGGTGTACTACCCCTACCTATTGATCAACAAAAAGCGCTACGCAGGTCTCTACTTCTCCTCCAGCGCTGACACTCACGACAAGATGGACTGCAAGGGTATCGAGACGGTCCGCCGAGACAACTGCACCCTGGTGGCCAATCTGATCAACACCTGCCTGCAGACCATTCTGATAGACAGGTAGGTACCACCCAGAGCATATGAGCGGAGTGGAGCGGAGTGGAGCGGTGAGAATCTCAGCTCCTCGCTCACGGAGCTGTTCACCCCTCCGCTCCCCCCGCTCAAAGCCACATCAGGCCAGTCCGCTCATTATCGCTCAGCGCTCAACGCAGTTTGCATCGCGCTCCACTCAAATCGCCCCCCGCTCACTCCAAAAAAGGAACAAAATCTGCATGTATTTCACTTTTAGCTTAAACCACAGCCTTACTTTATCTCCCCGAATTTGTTGCATACAGACTCATCTTGGATTATCCATTCTGTCTTGAAACGGGGATCTAACACTGACGCTAAAATGAGATGTTAATCAGTATAGTATATTCCATAGCGAACTGACACGTTGTTTGCCAATGTTTCTGCAAAAGCAGCGATGCCCATTGGAAGTGCAGCGTGAGTGTAATCGGTGAGCAGGGATTTGATTTCTGTGACAGCAGGGAGAATCATCCCCAGGTTCCCCAGCTCCTTCTGCATTTTGTCTGTGAGGTCTGCTAGTGGTGTCAGCACACTGACAAGGTGCGTCAGCTGCCGTACTTGATTCAGGGTGATGTTAGCAACATTAGACTTGAGTTTGTTTTGCCATAACGGGTATTTTTGGAACAACCGGATGAACGACTGAATCATCTGCAGCTGGCTGCTCCATCGAATGGCGCAGGCATTTGTGGGGCGGACACCTAATTGGTCGGTTTCCTCTGTGCTCTTGCGTACACTTTTCACCAGGTGCCCGACTTTCACTAACAGCCTATTAATGTTGTCGTGCTTGTTAACGGCGTTTTTGATCGCCAGCTGAAGCATGTGAATGGGGCATCTCAGATGTAAATTTGACAAAGTAAAGTACTAATTTATCATAGTTTCTTGGGGGGGTGTAGCCCGGTTGAGCTACGCTGGCGAAGTGTTGCATCCCTTCGCGTTCTCCTTTACTCAGCGGTTCATAGTCCATGAAAATCATTTCAAAAAATGCTACATCCAGCTCTCTTTTTCTCTCCCTTGTTATGGTTGGGCATTTACGTGCAGTGAATAAACTTTTGAATTCCTCAACCCTTTTCTCTTGTTGCTGCTGCTGCTCCTCTCGCTCTATAAAATACAAATTCATGGACGACACAAATTAAATTAAACAGATGGATTCTGGGTCAGGCTTGAGCATGCTTCAGACTCGTGGTGTGAGCGAGCGAAATTGGAGCGGGACATAGGGCGACGCTCCGTCCTTTTAAAAATGCCGCTCTGCGCTCTGTCAAAATCCGTCCGCTCACGCTCCACGCTCGCTCCCGCTCCACTCCGCTCATATGCTCTGGTACCACCTAGAACATTCTGATAGACAGGTACAGTGGGAAGAACAAGTATTTGATACACTGCCGATTTTGCAGGTTTTCCAACTTACAAACCATGTAGAGGTCTGTAATTTTTATCATATGTACACTTAAACTGTGAGAGACGGAATCTAAAACAAAAATCCAGAAAATCACATTGGATGATTTTTAAGTAATTAATTTGCATTTTATTGCATGACATAAGTATTTGATACATCAGAAAAGCAGAACTTAATATTTGGTACAGAAACCTTTGTTTGCAATTACAGAGATCATACGTTTCCTGTAGGTCTTGACCAAGTATGCACACACTGCAGCAGGGATTTTGGCCCACTCCTCCATACAGACCTTCACCAGATCCTTCAGGTTTCGGGGCTGTCGCTGGGCAATACGGACTTTCAGCTCCCTCCAAAAATGTTCTATTGGTTTCAGGTCTGGAGACTGGCTAGGCCACTCCAGGACCTTGAGATGCTTCTTACGGAGCCACTCATTAGTTGCCCTGGCTGTGTGTTTCGGGTCGTTGTCATGCTGGAAGACCCAGCCACGACCCATCTTCACTGCTCTTACTGAGGGAAGGAGGTTGTTGGCCAAGATCTCGCGATACATGGCCCCATCCATCCTCCCCTCAATACGGTGCAGTCGTCCTGTCCCCTTTGCAGAAAAGCATCCCCAAAGAATGATGTTTCCACCTCCATGCTTCATGGTTGGGATGGTGTTCTTGGGGTTGTACTCATCCTTCTTCCTCCAAACACGGCAAGTGGAGTAAAAAAGCTCTATTTTTGTCTCATCAGACCACATGACCTTCTCCCATTCCTCCTCTGGATCATCCAGATGGTGATTGGCAAACTTCAGACGGGCCTGGACATGCGCTGGCTTGAGCAGCGGGACCTTGCGTGCGCTGCAGGATTTTAATCCATGACGGCGTAGTGTGTTACTAATGGTTTTCTTTGAGACTGTGGTCCCAGCTCTCTTCAGGTCATTGACCAGGTCCTGCCGTGTAGTTCTGGGCTGATCCCTCACCTTCCTCATGATCATTTATGCCCCACAAGGTGAGATCTTGCATGGAGTCCCAGACCGAGGGTGATTGACCGTCATCTTGAACTTCTTCCATTTTCTAATAATTGCGCCAACAGTTGTTGCCTTCTCACCAAGCTGCTTGCCTATTGTCCTGTAGCCCATCCCAGCCTTGTGCAGGTCTACAATTTTATCCCTGATGTCCTTACACAGCTCTCTGGTCTTGGCCATTGTGGAGAGGTTGGAGTCTGTTTGAGTGTGTGGACAGGTGCAGTTAATACAGGTAATGAGTGGAGAACAGGAGGGCTTCTTAAAGAAAAACGAACAGGTCTGTGAGAGCCAGAATTCTTACTGGTTGGTAGGTGATCAAATACTTATGTCATGCAATACAATGCAAATTAATTACTTAAAAATCATACAATGTGATTTTCTGGATTTTTGTTTTAGATTCTGTCTCTCACAGTTGAAGTGTACCTATGATAAAAATGACAGACCTCTACATGCTTTGTAAGTAGGAAAACCTGCAAAATCGGCAGTGTATCAAATACTTGTTCTCCCCACTGTAGGTACCACCTAGAACATTCTGATAGACAGGTAGGTACCACCTAGAACATTCTGATAGACAGGTAGGTACCACCTAGAACATTCTGATAGACAGGTAGGTACCACCTACTGCAGAACATAGAACATTCTCATAAACCAGGTTTCCATCCAACCATTCCGTGCGGATGAATTACCTGACGCACAAAAAAGTCACTACTGACTGGGCTGAGGGAAACAGGAAATGCCGCTACAATTTGATAACTGCCGACAGACAATTTGTTCGTTCGACACGGTGGGATCTTTTTGTGTCTGTAAAATTAATTATGCAATAAATTGTGGTGGAAACACATTTATGTGCTAATATTGGTATAATAACCATCATATCAAAGTAAACTTGAAGTCACGCGATGATATGTTGTGTGGTCCTCCCACTACGACTCAGGAAAGCATGCAGTTTATTAGGCTACAGATGAAATAAGTTATGCTCCTTTTCACTAAATATCAAGGGTCTTATTCTGGTGACATGATGATCGACGCTTAGCTGCCGTTTGACAAATAATACAAATATTGCTGTTATCCATAATCTCATCATGTAGGTTTATACCAGCACTGTATCTGCCAGCTGCTGGCTAGAGCGCACCTGCCAATACCTGAGTGGAGTAGGCACATCTTTCTATAAAACACAACCGTTTTTGTGACAAAACCATCAGTAGAGTTGAAAATGCGATGGAAACCCATTTAACTTGTATTTTTCATTCTTTACATGGGAATTAAACAGCAAAAGTTATTTTTATGTGCACTATTTCATCACGCACAGACTTATATTAATGTGTGCCGATTTTAGAATATTCTCATGAAAATCTGTCGCAAATTGGATGGAAACCTAGCTATAGACAGGTACCTGCTACCTATTGCAGAACATTCTCATAGACCGGTACCGTCTACCTATTGCAGAACATAGAACATTCTCATAGACCGGTACCGTCTACCTACTGCAGACCTTTGTTGTCCTGTGTCCTGTTCAGTAGGTATGTAACAGAGCTGTTGTCCTGGGTCCTGTTCAGTAGGTCTGTAACAGTGGTGTTGTCCTGTTCAGTAGGTCTATAACAGTGTTGTCCTGGGTCCTGTTCAGTAGGTCTGTAACAGTGTTGTTGTCCTGGGTCCTGTTCAGTAGGTCTGTAACAGTGTTGTTGTCCTGGGTCCTGTTCAGTAGGTCTGTAACAGTGTTGTTGTCCTGGGTCCTGTTCAGTAGGTCTGTAACGTCTCTCTACCCTCCCTCCCTCCTCGTCTCTCTACCCAGGGATCCCCAGGGTGCGGTGGCCCACGCCAAAGAGGTGATCTCTGACCTGCTGTGTAACCGCATCGACATCAGCCAGCTGGTTATCACCAAGGAGCTGACACGTACAGCCCAGGAGTACGCTGGGAAACAGGCGCATGTAGAGCTGGCCGAGAGGTAAGGATGGAGAGAGGCAGAGAGAGAGAGGAGGAACGTTGGAGGCTGGTGCAGGGGAAAATGGGGTGGACAGTATCATTGTAATGGCTGGAATGGAACGGTTTCTGAAAGCCCATCCAAATAAGTTGTTCCTTCTATAAAGGATCGTTCTATCATTGTTACAGTGAGGGAAAAAAGTATTTGATCCCCTGCTGATTTTGTACGTTTGCCCACTGACAAAGAAATGATCAGTGTATCATTTTAATTGTACGTTTATTTGAACAGTGAGAGACTGAATAACAACAACAAAATCCAGAAAACTGCATGTCAAAAAATGTATACATTGATTTGCATTTTAATGAGGGAAATAAGTATTTGACCCCCTCTCAATCAGAAAGATTTCTGGCTCCCAGGTGTCTTTTATACAGGTAACGAGCTGAGTTTAGGAGCACACTCTTAAAGGGAGTGCTCCTAATCTCAGCTTGTTACCTGTATAAAAGACACCTGTCCACAGAAGCAATCAGTCAATCGGATTCCAAACTCTCCACCATGGCCAAGACCAAAAAGCTCTCCAAGGATGTCAGGGACAAGATTGTAGACCTACACAAGGCTGGAATGGGCTACAAGACCATCGCCAAGCAGCTTGGTGAGAAGGTGACAACAGTTGGTGCGATTATTTGCAAATGGAAGAAACACAAAAGAACTGTCAATCTCCCTCGGCCTAGGGCTCCTTGCAAGATCTCACCTCATGGAGTTGCAATGATCATGAGAACGGTGAGGAATCAGCCCAGAACTACACGGGAGGATCTTGTCAATGATCTCAAGGCACCTGGGACCATAGACACCAAGAAAACAATTGGTAACACACTACGCCGTGAAGGACTGAAATCCTGCAGCGCCCGCAAGGTCCCCCTGCTCAAGAAACCATATATACAGGCCTGTCTGAAGTTTGCCAATGAACATCTGAACGATTCAGAGGAGAACTGGGTGAAAGTGTTGTGGTCAGATGAGACCAAAATTGAGCTCTTTGGCATCAACTCAACTCGCCGTGTTTGGAGGATGAGGAATGCTGCCTATGACCCCAAGAACACCATCCCCACCATCAAACCTGGAGGTCGAAACATTATGCTTTGGGGCTGTTTTTCTGCTAAGGGGACAGGACAACTTCACCGCATCAAAGGGTGAATGGACTGGGCCATGTACCGTCAAATCTTTGGTGAGAACCTCCTTCCCTCAGCCAGGGCATTGAAAATGGGTCGTGGATGGGTATTCCAGCATGACAATGACCCAAAACACACGACCAAGGCAACAAAGGAGTGGCTCAAGAAGAAGCACATTAAGGTCCTGGAGTGGCCTAGCCAGTCTCTAGACCTTAATCCCATAGAAAATCTGTGGAGGGAGCTGAAGGTTCGAGTTGCCAAAAGTCAGCCTCAAAACCTTAACTTGGAGAAGATCTGCAAAGAGGCGTGGAACAAATTCCCTGCTGAGATGTGTGCAAACCTGGTGGCCAACTACAAGAAACTGACCTCTTTGATTGCCAACAACGGTTTTGCCATCAAGTACTAAGTCATGATTTGCAGAGGGGTCAAATACATATTTCCATCATTTAAAATGCAAATCAATTTATACATTTTTTTACATGTGTTTTTCTGGATTTTTTTTGTTGTTATTCTGTCTCTCACTGTTCAAATAAACCTACCATTAAATGTATAGACTGATCATGTCTTTGTCAGTGGGCAAACGTACAAAATCAGCAGGGGATCAAATACTTTTTTCCCTCACCAGTTGATAACATCTGACCCCTCACCTCTGCAGGATGAAGAAGAGAGACGCGGGTAGCGCCCCGCAACTGGGAGACAGAGTTCCCTATGTCATTATCAAAGCTGCCAAAGGAGTAGCAGCATACATGAAGTCTGAGGTTAGAACTTTGTGTGTGTGTGGAGGCTATTGTAAATATTCATGTGATTGTTGGTGTGCCTTGTAAAGGTATACATTAATTAACATTCACACAAATAATGAATATTGTGTGTGTAGGACCCAATCTATGTGTTGGAGAACAACATTCCCATTGACACTCAGTACTACCTGGAACAACAGCTCTCCAAGCCACTGCTCCGGATCTTTGAGCCAATCCTGGGAGAGAGCAAAGCAGAGAGTGTCTTACTGAGTGAGTCAGTATGCCACACACACACACAGTCTCTTCCTTTCTCTCGTCACTCTCACTCACACACCCACACATATACACAAATACACACACACCCACACACACATTCACACTACAAACACACCGTGACTGCTGCTATTATTAGACAAATTGCACAAATAAACTTGATGTGTTTGTGTGTTTCAGAGGGGGATCACACGCGCTGTAAAACAGTGTTGACCTCCAGGGTGGGGGGGCTCATGGCCTTCGCCACCAAGAGGAGCACCTGTATTGGCTGCAGAGCAGTGCTGAAGAACGATGGTGAGAGAGTATAATAATGTACTGTATGTGTGTGATTTATAATCTCTGCTGTCCTCCCCACAGCGGCTGTGTGTGATTTCTAATCTCTGCTGTCCTCCCCACAGCGGCTGTGTGTGATTTCTAATCTCTGCTGTCCTCCCCACAGCGGCTGTGTGTGATTTATAATCTCTGCTGTCCTCCCCACAGAGGCTGTGTGTGATTTATAATCTCTGCTGTCCTCCCCACAGAGGCTGTGTGTGATTTATAATCTCTGCTGTCCTCCCCACAGCGGCTGTGTGTGATTTATAATCTCTGCTGTCCTCCCCACAGCGGCTGTGTGTGATTTATAATCTCTGCTGTCCTCCCCACAGCGGCTGTGTGTGATTTATAATCTCTGCTGTCCTCCCCACAGCGGCTGTGTGTGATTTATAATCTCTGCTGTCCTCCCCACAGCGGCTGTGTGTGATTTATAATCTCTGCTGTCCTCCCCACAGCGGCTGTGTGTGATTTATAATCTCTGCTGTCCTCCCCACAGCGGCTGTGTGTGATTTCTGTAAGAAGAAGGAGTCGGAGCTGTACCAGAAAGAGGTACAATATATCAACCCTGTTCTGTTAATCTGGGTCCTGTTCATTAGGCACTAATATATCAACCCTGTTCTGTTAATCTGGGTCCTGTTCATTAGGCACTAATATATCAAACCTGTTCTGTTAATCTGGGTCCTGTTCATTAGGCACTAATATATCAACCCTGTTCTGTTAATCTGGGTCCTGTTCATTAGGCACTAATATATCAACCCTGTTCTGTTAATCTGGGTCCTGTTCATTAGGCACTAATATATCAAACCTGTTCTGTTAATCTGGGTCCTGTTCATTAGGCACTAATATATCAACCCTGTTCTGTTAATCTGGGTCCTGTTCATTAGGCACTAATATATCAACCATGTTCTGTTAATCTGGGTCCTGTTCATTAGGCACTAATATATCAACCCTGTTCTGTTAATCTGGGTCCTGTTCATTAGGCACTAATATATCAACCCTGTTCTGTTAATCTGGGTCCTGTTCATTAGGCACTAATATATCAAACCTGTTCTGTTAATCTGGGTCCTGTTCATTAGGCACTAATATATCAAACCTGTACTGTTAATCTGTGTCCTGTTCATTAAACACTAATACAGTTGAAGTCGGAAGTTTACATATACTTAGGTTGGAGTCATTAAAACTCGTTTTTCAACCACTCCACACATTTCTTGTCAACAAACTATAGTTTTGGCAAGTCGGTTAGGACCATTTTTCCAACAATTGTTTACAGACAGATTATTTCACTTATAATTCACTGTATCACAATTCCAGTGGGTCAGAAGTTTACATACACTAAGTTGACTGTGCCTTTAAACAGCTTGGAAAATTCCAGAAAATGATGTCATGGCTTTAGAAGCTTCTGATAGGCTAATTGACATAATTTGAGTCAATTGGAGGTGTACCTGTGGATGTATTTCAAGGCCTACCTTCAAACTCAGTGCCTCTTTGCTTGACATCATGGGAAAATCAAAAGAAATCAGCCAAGACCTCAGAAAAATAATTGTAGACCTCCACAAGTCTGGTTCATCCTTGGGAGCAATTTCCAAATGCCTGAAAGTACCACGTTCATCTGTACAAACAATAGTACGCAAGTATAAACACCATGGGACCACGCAGCCGTCATACCGCTCAGGAAGGAGATGCGTTGTGTCTCCTAGAGATGAACGTACTTTGGTGCGAAAAGTGCATATAAATCCCAGAACAACAGCAAAGAACCTTGTGTTTGCAACTGCACATGGGGACAAAGATTGTACTTTTTGGAGAAATGTCCTCTAGTCTAATGAAACAAAAATATAACTATTTGGCAATAATGACCATCGTTATGTTTGGAGGAAAAAGGGGGTAGCTTGCAAGCCGAAGAACACCATCCCAACCGTGAAGTACGGGGGTGGAAGCATCATGCTGTGGGGGTGCTTTGCTGCAGGATGGACTGGTGCACTTCACAAAATACAGTGGCTTGCGAAAGTATTCACCCCCCTTGGCATTTTTCCTATTTTGTTGCCTTACAACCTGGAATTAACATGGATTTTGGGGGGATTTGTATCATTTGATTTACACAACATGCCTACCACTTTGAAGATGCAAAATATGTTTTATTGTGAAACAAACAAGAAATAAGACAAAATAAGACAACTTGAGCGTGCATAACTATTCACCCCCCCCAGAGTCAATACTTTGTAGAGCCACCTTTTGCAGCAATTACAGCTGCATGTCTCTTGGGGTATGTCTCTATAAGCTTGGCACAGCTAGCCACTGGGATTTTTGCCCATTCTTCAAGGCAAAACTGCTCCAGCTCCTTCAAGTTGGATGGGTTCCGCTGGTGTACAGAAATCTTTGTCATACCACAGATTCACCATTGAATTGAGGTCTGGGCTTTGACTAGGCCATTCCAAGACATTTAAATGTTTCCCCTTAAACCACTCAAGTGTTGCTTTAGCAGTATGCTTAGGGTCATTGTCCTGCTGGAAGGTGAACCTCTGTCCCAGTCTCAAATCTCTGGAAGACTGAAACAGGATTCCCTCAAGAATTTCCCTGTATTTAGCGCCATCCATCATTCCTTCAATTCTGACCAGTTTCCCAGTCCCTGCCGATTGAAAAACATCAACACAGCATGATGCTGCCACCACCATGCTTCACTGTGGGGATGGTGTTCTCGGGGTGATGAGAGGTGTTGGGTTTGCGCCAGACATGGCGTTTTCCTTGATGGCCAAAAAGCTCAATTTTTGTCTCATCTGACCAGAGTACCTTCTTCCATATGTTTGGGGAGTCTCCCACATGCTTTTGGCGAACACCAAACATATTTGCTTATTTTTTTCTTTAAGCAATGGCTTTTTCTGGCCACTCTTCCGTAAAGTCCAGCTCTGTGGAGTGTACGGCTTAAAGTGGTCCTATGGACAGATACTCCAATCTCCGCTGTGGAGCTTTGCAGCTCCTTCAGGGTTATCTTTGGTCTCTTTGTTGCCTCTCTGATTAATGCCCTCCTTGCCTGGTCCGTGAGTTTTGGTGGGCGGCCCTCTCTTGGCAGGGTTGTTGTGGTGCCATATTCTTTCCATTTTGTAATAATGGATTTAATGGTGCTCTGTGGGATGTTCATAGTTTTGGATATTTTTTTATAACCCAACCCTGATCTGTACTTCTCAACTTTGTCCCTGACCTGTTTGGAGAGCTCCTAGGTTTTCATGGTGCCGCTTGCTTGGTGGTGCCGCTTGCTTGGTGGTGCCGCTTGCTTGGTGGTGCCGCTTGCTTGGTGGTGCCGCTTGCTTGGTGGTGCCCCTTGCTTAGTGGTGCCCCTTGCTTAGTGGTGTTGCAGACTCTAGGGCCTTTCAGAACAGGTGTGCGTATATATACTGAGATCATGTGACACTTAGATTGCACACAGGTGGACTTTATTAACTAATTATGTGACTTCTGAAGGTAATTGGTTGCACCAGATCTTATTTAGGGGCTTCATAGCAAAGGGGGTGAATACATATGCCCGCACCACTTTTCCATTATTATTTTTTTTCAATTCAGTTCACCAATTTGGACTATTTTGTGTATGTCCATTACATGAAATCCAAATAAAAATCGATTTAAATTATAGGTTGTAATGCAACAAAATAGGAAAAACGCCAAGGGGGATGAATACTTTTGCAAGGTACTGTAGATGGTATCATGAGGAAGGAAAATGATGTGGATATATTGAAGCAACATGTCAAGACATCAGTCAGGAAATTAATGTTGGTCGCAAATGGGTCTTCCAAATGGACAATGACCCCAAGCATACTTCCAAAGTTGTAGCAAAATTGCTTAAGGACAACAAAGTCAAGGTATTGGAGTGGCCATCCCAAAGCCCTGACCTCAATCCTATAGAACATTTGTGGGCAGAACTGAAAAGGCGTGTGCGAGCAAAGAGTTAGCACACAATTTAAAGGCAATGCTACCAAATACTAATTGAGTGTATGTAAACTTCTGACCCACTGGGAATGTGATGAAATAAATAAAAGCTGAAATAAATCATTCTCTCTACTATTATTCTGACATTTCACATTCTTAAAATAAAGTGGGGATCCTAACTGACCTAAGACAGGGAGTTTTTACTAGGATTAAATGTCAGGAATTGTGAAACTGAGTTTAAATGTATTTGGCGGAGGAGTATTTCTGTCTGTAATAAAGCCCTTTTTGTGGGGAAAACTCATTCTGATTGCCTGGGCCTGGCTCCCCAGTCGGTGGCCCTATGCCCTCCCAGGCCCACACATGGCTGTGCCCCTGCCTAGTCATGTGAAATCCATTGATTAGTGCCTAATGAATTTATTTCAATTGACTGATTTCCTTATATGAACTGTATCTCAGCAAAATATTTTAAATTGTTGCATGTTGCGTTTATTTTTGTTCAGTATACTTACTAATGGTGAATCTCTGATTAGTACTTACTAATGGTGAATCTCTGAATAATTACTAGTGGTGAATCTCTTTTGAATTCTAGATCTTCCACTTAAGTACGCTGGAGGAGCGCTTCTCTCGCCTGTGGACACAGTGTCAACGCTGTCAGGGCTCTCTCCATGAGGATGTGCTCTGTACCAGGTACACACACACACACACACACACACACACACACACACACACACACACACACACACACACAAATGCATACAACTGGTATACAGATGTGTGTGTTTGAAAGTTACTTTGCCGGTACATCGTTAGTGTGACTCTCTAGCAGGGTGATGTCAAGCTCCAAGTTTGTTTACAATCTAACGATAACTTGGGTAAATAAATATGTAGGTGACATTTCTGAAATAGGAGATACTGTATATTAACTTCTGAAATTGGAGATACTATATATTAACTTCTGAAAGGGAATCTTTAATGCACCTAAATGTGCAACGTCTGTACAAGCAGCACAGACTCATGTACTGTTGGATAATTACCACACAGACCCACTCTGAAATACACATCAACATATCTGTTACACACAGACCCACTCTGAAATACACATCAACATATCTGTTACACACAGACCCACTCTGAAATACACATCAACATATCTGTTACACACAGACCCACTCTGAAATACACATCAACATATCTGTTACACACAGACCCACTCTGAAATACACATCAACATATCTGTTACACACAGACCCACTCTGAAATACACATCAACATATCTGTTACACACAGGCCCACTCTGAAATATACATCAACATATCTGTTACACACAGACCCACTCTGAAATGCACATCAACATATCTGTTACACACAGACCCACTCAGAAAAAGAAAAAGAAAAGCAGACATTGAATATCCCTTTGAGCATGGTGAAGTTATTAATTACACTTTGGAGGTGTATCAATACACCCAGTCACTCCAAAGATACAGGTGTCCTTCCTAACACAGTTGCCAGCATATTGGCTAACTTTAAAACAGTTACCGAGTTTAATGGCTGTGATAGGAGAAAACTGAGGATGGATCAACATTGTAGTTACTCCACAATACTAACCTAAATGGTCCTCTGTAGCTCAGTTGATAGAGCATGGCGTTTGCAACGCCAGGGTTGTGGGTTCGATTCCCACAGGGGGTATGAAAAAATAATAATAATGTAAGTCGCTCTGGATAAGAGCGTCTGCTAAATGACGTAAAATGTAAATGTGAAATGGATAAAAGCGTCTGCTAAATGGCATATTATTATATTATAAATGACAGCGAAAAGAAGCCTGTACAGAGTAAAAATATTCCAAAACATGCATCCTGTTTGCAGTAAGACACTAAAATAAAACTGCAAAAAATGTGGCAAAGAAATAAAATGTATGTCCTGAATACAGTGTTATGTTTGGAGCAAATACAACACATCACTGAGTACCACTCTACACATTTTCAAGCATGGGAGTGACTGCATCATGTTATTGGTATATTTGCTTGTCAAAAAAGAGACAACATAGAGATAAGCACAGGCAAAATCCTAGAGCAAAACCTGGTTGTCTGCTTTCAAACAGACACTGGGAGACAAATTCACATTTCAGCAGGACAATAACCTAAAACACAAGGCCAAATATACACTGGAGTTGCTTACCAAGACGACGTTGAATGTTCCTGAGTGGCTTAGTTACAATGTTGACTTAAATCGGCTTGAATATCTATGGCAAGACTTGAAAATGGCTCTCTAGCAATGATCAACAACCAACTTGACAGAGCTTGAAGAATAAATAAAAAGATAATGTGCAAATATTGTACAATCCAGGTGTGCAAAGCTCTTGGAGACTAACCCAGAAAGACTCACTGCTGTAATCGCTGCCAAAGGTGATTCTAACATGTATTGACTGAGGTTAATATAACCACTCTTATATATCAAATTGTATTGGTCACATACACATACAGTGGGGGGGGAAAGTATTTAGTCAGCCACCAATTGTGCAAGTTCTCCCACTTAAAAAGATGAGAGAGGCCTGTAATTTTCATCATAGGTACACGTCAACTATGACAGACAAATTGAGAGAAAAAAAATCCAGAAAATCACATTGTAGGATTTTTAATGAATTTATTTGCAAATTATGGTGGAAAATAAGTATTTGGTCACCTACAAACAAGCAAGATTTCTGGCTCTCACAGACCTGTAACTTCTTCTTTAAGAGGCTCCTCTGTCCTCCACTCGTTACCTGTATTAATGGCACCTGTTTGAACTTGTTATCAGTATAAAAGACACCTGTCCACAACCTCAAACAGTCACACTCCAAACTCCACTATGGCCAAGACCAAAGAGCTGTCAAAGGACACCAGAAACAAAATTGTAGACCTGCACCAGGCTGGGAAGACTGAATCTGCAATAGGTAAGCAGCTTGGTTTGAAGAAATCAACTGTGGGAGCAATTATTAGGAAATGGAAGACATACAAGACCACTGATAATCTCCCTCGATCTGGGGCTCCACGCAAGATCTCACCCCGTGGGGTCAAAATGATCACAAGAACCACACGGGGGGACCTAGTGAATGACCTGCAGAGAGCTGGGACCAAAGTAACAAAGCCTACCATCAGTAACACACTACGCCGCCAGGGACTCAAATCCTGCAGTGAAAGACGTGTCCCCCTGCTTAAGCCAGTACATGTCCAGGCCCGTCTGAAGTTTGCTAGAGTGCATTTGGATGATCCAGAAGAGGATTGGGAGAATGTCATATGGTCAGATGAAACCAAAATAGAACTTTTTGGTAAAAACTCAACTCGTCGTGTTTGGAGGACAAAGAATGCTGAGTTGCATCCAAAGAACACCATACCTACTGTGAAGCATGGGGGTGGAAACATCATGCTTTGGGGCTGTTTTTATGCAAAGGGACCAGGACGACTGATCCGTGTAAAGGAAAGAATGAATGGGGCCATGTATCGTGAGATTGAGTGAAAACCTCCTTCTATCAGCAAGGGCATTGAAGATGAAATGTGGCTGGGTCTTTCAGCATGACAATGATCCCAAACACACCGCCCGGGCAACGAAGGAGTGGCTTCGTAAGAAGCATTTCAAGGTCCTGGAGTGGCCTAGCCAGTCTCCAGATCTCAACCCCATAGAAAATCTTTGGAGGGAGTTGAAAGTACGTGTTGCCCAGCGACAACCCCAAAACATCACTGCTCTAGAGGAGATCTGCATGGAGGAATGGGCCAAAATACCAGCAACAGTGTGTGAAAACCTTGTGAAGACTTACAGAAAACGTTTGACCTGTGTCATTGCCAACAAAGGGTATATAACAAAGTATTGAGAAACTTTTGTTATTGACCAAATACTTATTTTCCACCATAATTTGCAAATAAAATAATTAAAAATCCTACAATGTGATTTTCAGGATTTTTTTTCTTCTCATTTTGTCTGTCATAGTTGACGTGTACCTATGATGAAAATTACAGGCCTCTCTCATCTTTTTAAGTGGGAGAACTTGCACAATTGGTGGCTGACTAAATACTTTTTTCCCCACTGTATTTAGCAGATGTAGCGACACGCTTGTGTTCCTAGCTCCAACAGTGCAGTAGTATCTAACAAAATCACAACAATACACACAAATCTAAAAGGAAAATAATGGAATTAAGAAATGTATAAATACATAAATATTAGGAGCAGCAGCCTTCAACCCCCAGTAACCAAGCTGTCAGAGCAGCAGTCCCTTAAAAAGCATGGGCTGACGCACACCCAAACATTTTTGTAGGTCCTGACGGAGGTTAAACTGTATGAAAAGAAAGTTGCACACTCTATAGGTTGTATAAAAAAAATTACATAACATCAAAGATCCACCACCATATTTTACAGGAGGTATGGGTTTCTTTTCTGTTCATGCATTCTCATTTCCACTTCAAACCCATTGAAAACCTGTGGTTTGAATTGAAGAGGGCAGTCCATAAGAACAGACGAAGGATATCAATGATCTGGAAGGATTCTGTATGAAGGAATGGTCTAAGATCCCTCCCAATGTGTTTCCAACTCATAAAACCTTTAAGAAAAAGGCTCAGTACCTTAATCCTCACAAGGTGAGGTATTGAAACAGGAGGAAAAAAAGTATTACTTAAACAAATTCTCTTTCTCTGTTCAGTTGTATTCGTATAAAAAATATAATTTCCAATTTTTATGGAGCATACAATATAGCTCAGTATTTGTATTTATTTTATAAATTTTTCCTCATCTTTATCAAGATTGTCAATAATTTAGGACCCCACTGTATATATTTTATTATTATTATTAAGTAAATGTTGCTGTCCCTCCCTCTGTCCAGCCGGGACTGTCCCATATTCTACATGAGGAAGAAGGTACAGAAAGACCTGGATGATCAGGAGAAGCTGGTGTCTCGCTTTGGATGGTGACAGGCAGACGCAACAGAGACTCCATATTCACCGGCTCCCCTCTCTCTCCCTCTGTCCCCTCTCTCGCTCCCCACTCCCTCTCTCCCTCCTTCTCCTGGAAAGGATTTGTACTGTATTGTCTTCTTGTAAGAATGATAAATGTTACACTATTTTCTTGAAATATGAATCTAAATAAATGTTTTTGTAGAAATGTGTCTTGTCATTGTTGTCTGTCTTCAGTCTAGAAGACCTCAGTTGCATTGAGCCATAAGTATGGTGGTGGATTTTGTAATATGTTGAGTACTAAAAGTTGTGTAGTGGGCATTTGACGATAACCAATGAAAGCAGCAGGTTATTTCTTACTGTGCACTTCTAATAGGTTACAGTTCAGGGTTCCAATGGCATGTGTTAATAGACTAGGGCCTGTATTTATGAACCATCTCAGTAGGAGTTCTGATCTAGGATAGGGTTGGCAAAGGGAGGGTATTTTTTATTTATTTTACCTTTTATTTAACTAGGCAAGTCGGTTAAGAACAAATTCTTATTTTCAATGACGGCCTACCCCGGCCAAACCCGGACGACGCTCGGCCAATTATGCACCGCCCTATGGGACTCCCAATCACAGCTGGATTGTGATACAGCCTGGAATCGAACCAGGGTCTGTAGTGACGCCTCTAGCATTGAAATGCAGTGCCTTTGACCGCTGCGCCACTCGGGAGCCCAAGTGCATTCTGAAAGTATTCAGACCCCTAGACCTCTTCCACATTTTGTTACGTTACAGCCTTATTCTAAAATAGATAGTTTTTTTCCCCCTCAGCAATCTACACACATTACCCCATAATGACAAAGCAAAAACAGGTTTTTAATTTTGGGGGGAAATTTATACAGAATAAGAAACGGAAATATCACATTTACATAAGTATTCAGACCCTTTTACTCAGTACTTTGGCAGCGATTATAGCCTTGAGTCTTCTTGGGTAAGAAGCTACAAGCTTTGCACACCTGTATTTGGGGAGTTTCTCCCATTCTTCTGTGCAGATCCTCTTAAGCTCTGTCAGGTTGGATGGGGAGCGTCGAGTTGTAGAAACCTCAAGTATCATCAATGGAAACAGGATGCACCTGAGCTCTCATAGCAAAGGGTCTGAATACTTATGTAAATAAGGTATTTCTGTTATTTGTAATACATTTGCAAAAAAATCTAAAAACCTGTTTTCACTGTCATTATGGGGTATTACAGTGAGGGGAAAAAAGTATTTGATCCCCTGCTGATTTTTGTACGTTTGCCCACTGACAAAGACATGATCAGTCTATAATTTTAATGGTAGGTTTATTTGAACAGTGAGAGACAGAATAACAAAAAAAAAATGCATGTAAAAGATTTTATAAATTGATTTGCATTTCAATGAGGGAAATAAGTATTTGACCCCTCTGCAAAACATGATTTAGTACTTGGTGGCAAAACCCTTGTTGGCAATCAGAGGTCAGATGTTTCTTGTAGTTGGCCACCAGGTTTGCACACATCTCAGAATGGATTTTGTTCCACTCCTCTTTGCAGATCTTCTCCAAGTCATTAAGGTTTCGAGGCTGGCGTTTGGCAACTCGAACCTTCAACTCCCTCCACAGATTTTCTATGGGATTAAGGTCTGGAGACTGGCTAGGCCACTCCAGGACCTTAATGTGCTTCTTCTTGAGCCACTCCTTTGTTGCCTTGGCCGTGTGTTTTGGGTCATTGTCATGTAGTCTCACTGCCCTTGCTAGTGTCACTGCCCTTGCTAGTGTCACTGCCCTTGATAGTGTCACTGCCCTTGATAGTGTCACTGCCCTTGATAGTGTCACTGCCCTTGATAGTATCGGCCTTCGTCAGAGCTTTTGAGTGTTTTTAATTTGCCCCCTCATGTAGACATTGCTCCACCCACATCCGTTCAATGCATCGAATGGGGTTGGAGTCGAGGGAAAATAAACATGTTACCATATAACAATGTGCTTTTCATAAGTATTCTAATAAAGTGTGTACATAAAACGTATTAAACACGTCTGTAAAACCACAATGAGGACATCGACATATCAAGTAAGTTTTTTCATAAATCATTGGGTACAGTGCAAGAATAAACGTCAGAGTAATCTGAAGTGGTGGCATTAATTCATGTTCACATTTACAACATAACATGTACGAGCATTTCATCATTAAGACCTTTTTATAATGTCTGGAGGGTGAAAATCCAAAAACATTCTCTTTTGTATTAGTTAGATCACCTCTTGTTAGAGCTGATTTGGACATATTTGTATCAAAGACAGAACATACAGAGCTCCATGTACGTGTGTGTGTGTAAATATATGAAATATGAGTGTATATGATGAAATATTAGGTACGTACCTTTAGGGTTTATTTACCTGATTTGAGAGATATTCCTTTGTTATTAGTGTAACTTAGTTTTTGGCTCCCCCTCTTGCCCATTCATTGTACTGTGGTAAGTGTGTTAGTGATAGGATAAAGGCAAGAAGTTGGGCCTTCGGGGGGAGGGGAGTCCTAGCTAGACGCGGGAGCTGTATAGTCTTTTGACCATACAGGCCATATGTATTTTTCACATCAAGTAATCTATGCTTTAAGTTGATTGGAGAATCATGTCTTGTTAGATATGAGAAGAATAAACCTTGTTGTTGCACCATATCCCTGGATCTCATTGAATGTTTTTGCCGTTTGGGAACTTCGAAAGTGGACTGTATGTGTCCGAAACAACCCCGCTTCAGGCTTGGGCAGTGGCTATGGTCAATTGGTAAGGAAGCCACTACACCTCTCTTTTCTGATATCTTGACTTTCTCTATGCCACAAAATCTAAAGGTAGAAATCCCATGTTTTTGGTCAGTAAAATTCATCATTCATAATTAATTCATCAACATTTGCTTGGGCAGTGGCTATGGTCAATTGGTAAGGAAGCCACTACAATCAAGTCAAAAGAGTCCGTGAAGGATTACTATCGGAAGGAATGCTCCGGTACAGACACATGCTGGATATTGTTTTATTTACCATTGCATTCAGACCGCAAGCACAGCTCGCTTGGAAGGACTTGAACTCCTAGAATCCGCCAGCCGTGAGTAACCACTGCGAATGAATGAGCTGCCTTGTTCAATGCAATCGTTTCATCAAGCATATTATGGAAGCGCAAATGTGCTTATAATTGGAATGTTTGATAAACTTGGGAATGGAATTCAAAACACAGCACTGTAAAAACAATTAAGAAGTTTTGAGTTTGGGCAACACTGAGATCCTATGCACAATGTAACCTAATCAAATGTCTAATATTAGGCCTAACGTGGAAATACAACGCATCAATGGAACTCTAGTAAAGGATCTAAAGATACTGGGTGTCGAAATTGAATTAAAGGGGACAAAAACCTATAATGGGATTAAATATTTAATGCATCTAAAATGCCGAACTTGCACATATTCAATGAAGAATTGGTCAATATGCTGAAATGGATGACTGTGTTTAAAGCATTAAAGGAGGTCTAAAGGGGCATTGCATTTATCAATCAAATCGACAAGTGTGTCATTGTAAATTTAGTGAATTAAAAGTGAATGATGGCGGATAAAATCCCAAATAAGACCCCACTGGAGAGGGCAGAGGAGCACGAAATTCACTCTATGCAGCCCGGAGAGGCAAACTTGGAGTATGTACAAGCAAAATGAATGAAATAAAAGTCCTTCTTGTTGATGGAGGAAATGTCGAAACTGTGAATGAGGGTCTTGAAGCATTTGATGTTGTTCTCAATGACTTTAAGAATGATCATGAATCTGTTCTAGAGCTGGTCACAGAGGAGGAAAAGGAACAGAGAGCATTAACTATTATCAACCAGGAATGAGGACATGAACATTTCCTGAAAGAGGTGGAAATATGGAAAAAATATAGGAGTGGAGCCACAAACGCTCATTGAACCACATGACAGCATTTCCAATGTGTCAAAAATATCAAGTAAAACAAAGTATTTTAAGGCTGCATCATCCTCAGTGTCCTCTGCACACCTAAAAGCTGAGGTAGAGAGAGCAGCACTACTCGCTCGCCAAGCGTCATTACAGGGCAAGCATGCATTGGAACTGGAGAAAGCTCAACTGAATGTTAGGATGGAAAAAATGGAACTGGAAACTGACATAGCAGCATATAATGCCAGACGGAAGGTCCTGGAGAGTTTTGAGTCAACTTCTCAATCCCATGCTGTGGCAGTCCACTTACTAAGCCAAGATGATGGAATTAACTACTATTTTTAGAAGCAGGATCCTGAGGTTTTTGAGGAACCTGAACCATCACCTGTTGAGTTTGCAGGATTAGGTGCAGTTCCAAAGACCCCACTACAAAGGGTTTTACAACAACAGACAACAAAGCCCATTCAGAAAACAGTCATAAACCACACCATTTAGCAGCCAACAGCAAGGTCTAGCAATCAACACAGAATCAACACTGAATCAGCCATAAGACCAGCCATGATAACTTCTCTACTGTCATTCAAAGGCAGAATGAAATTGCTGACCTCCTTGTACTTCAGCACAAACTGGCCACACTTCCTGTTCGGGAGATACCTATGTTTGACGGTGATCTCTAAACTTTAGGCCATTCATGCGTGCATTTAAGCATGGCATAGAAGATAAGACAAGCAGCCACCAGGATAGCTTCTATTACCTGGAACAGTACACCTCTGGTCAGCCCAAGGATCTGGTCTGCAGTTGTCTGCATATCGAAGCCAGAAGGGGCTATGCAGAGGCTAAGAGGTTGTTAAAGGAACACTTGGCAATGAAATCAAAGTCACCACTGCTTACATGGAAAACGTTTGGAACTGGAGAAACATCAAACCAGATGATGGAAAGGGACTGGGTGGCTATGCACTCTTAGAGGTTGCTGTAACGCTATGTAAGACCTACAGAACATGGAAGAGCTTAATCTTCCCTCCAACATAAAGTTGATAATGTCAGAACTTCCCTACAAACTAAGGGGAAAATGGAGGTCTACAGCATGTGATATTTT